CATCCTGGAACAAGTCCAGCAGAGGGCCATGAGGGTGACAAAGGGGCTGGAGCAGCTGAACTGGGGAGCAGCTGAGTTGGTGGGGTCTCAGCCTGGGGAGAAGAGGACTCTGGGGGTCCTATACCTGACGGGCATGTAAATAAGATGGATCCAGACTCTCCTCAGAGGTGCTGGAGACAGGACAAGGGGCAATGGGCTCGCATTGAAACAGAAGAAATTCCATTTAAAGGTGAAAAAAGCTTTTTTAAAGTAAGGGTGATCAAACACTGGCACAGGTTGCCCAGAGACGCTGTGGCATCTCCATCCTTGGAGATATTCAAACCCAGCTGGACACATCCTGAGCAACCCGCTCCGGCTGCCCCTGCTTGAGCAGAGTCTGGACCAGCTGATCTCCAGAGGTCCCTGCCCACCTCAGCCAGTTTGTGGTTCAATTCTGTGATTTTCCTTTTTCTTTTAAGTACCAAATTTGTTAAGCCCATGTTTGTGTTTCTTCTGGTGAGAGAGTAAGGGATGTGGCAAAATCAATCCAACACGCCACCCTTCCCCAAAGAAAATCCTAAAAGGAGAAGTTGTACGTGATTTGCAGGATTACCTGCCAACTACTTGGTCAAGATGCTCCAACAGAGAGAATGAAACAGTGAGCATATGGTAAATGCATGTTGCCGTCTCCTATGGGCGCTATTCATATATGCTTCCAAGAAGGGCTGAGAAGGCAGAACAAAGCAGGTATTGGGCAAAGGAAGGGAAACAAAGCACAGGCTGTAAATGCCTGCCCTTAAGTCTTCCTTCAGCAGTGAGAAAACATACCTGGCTGCCTGCAGTTTGCTGTGCTAGACACTTGGCAAGAGCACATTATCATTGCACCGTGAGCACTTTGATTTACTCTTCCTGTACCACGATATCTTTGATTAGTCTTTTCCTCAAATTTCATTTTCAGTTCTCATTGTGGTAAGTATAATAGGTCTGTAGTTGAATGATCATATTTTTCCTCTCAGTCCTCATTCTCAGTCCTTTGGTCAAGATACAAAATCAGTGGGTTCACTGAAAGCCCTTGTGATTATGTGCACTAATTTTGTCTGAATTCAAGATGAGGAGGATCTAACTCCTCCTCAGACCCCTTCTCCAACCTGAGTGCACTAATTCTCCTTTTCTGCTTTTTTCCTCTCCAGGAAAATTGTAACAGCTCCTTTCTGTAGACAACCTAATGCTTTAAGCTATTACTGTAAAATATCACCATGGTTTCCAATAAAATTTTATTTGACATTTAGTTAAAATCCATTTTTTGGTACAACTGATTTTTTTCCCTAGTCCCTTGATGGACACTTTGAGCAGAATTCATTGTCATTGTCTTAAAGGTCAAAAGTTTGTTTTTTTTCAGATCTTGCTTTGTAAAGCAAACTGTTACTCAGGATTATGAGACACTGCGGTAAGCTGTGACAGCCCATGAAACTGTTCTTCCTTGCAATTACACGGATTTCATAAAAGTTGTGTGAGCAAACAGAAAGCCCTTCACTGCAAAATCAATTACCATTGTAGAGTCCCTATAAAAGAACCAGCGCAAGACCAGGTGGCTCTGCACCAAGTCAACCAGTGTAGAGATGCCTGTAAGCTAAATGTTTTCCTTTAAATATGTTATGAGGAATTAAAAGTATAAATGGAAATATTAAATAGAAACTATGCATTTAGATGCCATTTTGTTTGCAATTTTTCATAAATATAATTTAGTTTGTTCAATAAAACTATTCTAATAAACTATGCTGTATCATGGAATAATGGTTCAATGGTAGTTACATTAAATTAAATCTATTGCATGATGTGTTAATGTTTTTAACTTTCACTCCTGCTTCTAGAGAGCCCTGTGTGTTCTTGATTACTTCCTTGTTTTGCTTTTAATTGGAATTGTTTGGTAAATGTCTGCAGCCTCTTAAAACGAGCTTAAAAATGTACTCATATTTAGGGTGCCTTTATTTCTACATTCCTATGTTACAGTAGTATAGTTTTCACTGATCTCAGCTGAAATCTGAAGAAGCTTTTATTTTCTAAAGGTCTAGTTAGGCACACACTTTTTAAGGCATACAAAAGTGATGCTGTCACACTTCTGAAAACTGAAAATGCAAAGCCTGCTACTGGTGAAACGTTGCAGAAAGCTCCAGGTGACAGATATTTGTGCTTACCAGATGGAGAGATGTGTCTCCAAGAAATGGAAGGCTCTGGCTTCCCTGTGGCCAGGCACACCAGAGTAACATTGCTTCCTTCGTTCACAACGATGTCACTCGAAATGCGAAATATCTTCGGAGAAACTGGAATGAAACAAGGAGAAAGTTGTAATGGAGAGCTGCTGAATCAGTGCAATTCCACCAGAGCACAGATAGCTGAGGAGAGCTGGGATGCCCATATTGCCATTATTGATAAAAATACACGCAGTTGTTGAAATATAACTATGCAAAAACCTTGTTTAGGTGTGACCACAGCTATTTCCATCACATTTGCAGAAACTCAGCCATGGATTCAAAATGCTACAAATAAGAAAGCAACAATTTCCTCTATTTTGTGCAAAGCAGGTATTGTTATCAAGTTCCCAGTAAACTGCTACTGATGGATGCTCTTGTTTAAGAGAAGGTTGAGCTTGCTCGTGGCAGTTTGAAAAGAAGATTAAATTTTTCTTGTGCTTTTAAAAACAATGATGCCTATCACATCTACTCCATGTGAACTTGGAAAGTCATATCTGTTCATGGAGAAGACTAAAATACATTTATTTCTGTTGCTTTGTATTGCTTTTAGGCTTGCAGTAGCAACATGGCTAAGAAAAAAATAAACTAGATTTCTTCTTTCATTTCACCAGCAGAATTCTTCACTAAACTCCATTTTCTGTACTATTTATACATCTGGGCATAAGAGAACAGAGTTCCACATGGATGGAAAATGATGGAAAGCATTAAATGGCCTGTTCTTAAGGGAATGCTTTACTTCTTGTAATGTTACACGAGGAGGAAAGGAACTCAGGGTCCCAGCAATGAAGGCAGGAATTCTGGTTTTCAGAATGAATCTTTCTTTCTAAAGAAATATGTATTTCTTTACATGTCTTATTATTACATTTGATATAGAAATCAAATCAATGCAGTAGCAAGGCATACCCTATTGATGTTTCTGAAAAGCATTATTCTCTATATGATAAATAACAAATTTTGTACAGATATCTGTAAAAGATACAGATCTTACATGTGGGTGTTTCGGAGCCTTCTGTAATGACTGTTTTAAAATCCAAGCGCTCTGCAAGGTAAGTGGGTATCAATAAAATGAGAAAAAAAAAATTATGATCTTCCATTTTCCTAACCAAAGTCTCTGTCTAACTGGAGCTTTACTCTCCTGAATGCCACAGTCTTGTCTCACTGGTTTGTTCCAATTTGTCACAGCCAAAATCCTACCTCCTGAACCCATTCATACACCTTTGCAACCATTTCAGCAACCTGGAATACATTGTTAACATCTCTTCAATGTACTTTAAAAAGTACAGAGCTTTCTCATATGCACAGACTGGTTCTGTGTGCTTTGGGTTCTCCACCTGCAGATGTTCTCCGGCCCTTTCCCTGGTCCGGTGACTGGAAGTATTTCAGCCATAGAAATAAGTTGGGGTCAGACAGACTTCAAAAAGCTGGAAATTCTCAGTGCTTGCTTGTGGCTATGCATTTGTGAGCAAAGAAAATTAAAAGGCTATGTAGAGTATTTTTAATTAGCAGAGAAACATTGTCTTTAGGGAAAGTGAAGGTCTGGGGAAAGCTGAACCTTCCCTAATTCCTAAAGCAGTGAAGTTCAGTATTACCTGATCTGGAAGTTCAAGCAGGTTTACACAATCACTTGAACAGAGATACACTTTTGAATTTGCCATAGTCTAACTCACAAAGGTGATAATCTACTCTTCCCCACTACACTTCATGACCTGAAAAAACATGCAGTCATTACAGACCATTTTTAGGAGCTGAAACGTACAGAAGAGGTATTTCCACGTAAAGGGATAATTTATTAATCAGATTTCTTTGCAGATCCCCGCAATGAACTCGTTACTCAACTTCCTTCTGCAAAAGTCTCTCCTGTCCTAAAGGAGAACATGAACAGCTGCCACCTACATGCCTACCCCACGTCAGCTATGCCATGCCATGACCCTTCCTCGGTGTCCCCTCTACCCTGAAAGGTGGTGTTGTTAATACAGGTCTCCCCCACTTCCCCATTCCAGCCCAAGTTAAATATCATTAACATTTCAGCTTGGCAACAGACAAAACATTGAAAGGAATTCTTATTTCTGTGTACAGCATATGAAAAATAAATCTGCTTCCTAAAGACAGCTGGTGAGGGATCATCCTATCCCAAATGTAGAAACCCATCTGAGAGCAGAATTTCATGAGTAATGGGGCAAACACGGTGGCTTTAGTCAGTCTACAATATTTTAAAAATATCTTCCTAAATCTGAGCTACTTATTTCTTTATCCTTCAAGAAAGAACATTCCAGAAAGTCAAGTAAAGGAATCAAATAACTCAAAACAGTTCTTCTCACAAGTAAATATATACAATTGACTGACGCAATAGATATTTGGAACTGTGGAAATATCTTCCAGATTAACTAAATGTTACGGTGTAAGATTTCCAACAGCATTAAACTTCTTATTTGAGGTTCTGCACCTTTGAAGGTAGAAAAAGAGAGAGATTTGCTCATGTTCTGGCATTATTGAAGCAGTACCATAGAGGGATTTTTCACACCTGACACCTAATGTTATTTATCCAGGTGATTTTTATTTGCCTTAAACTTGTCACTAAACATAGGGGATGTGGCTGGAGCATGCTGTGCTGCCACAGTCGCACCTGGGTGGCCAGTACAGACTAAAGCAAGTTAAAGGAGGCCTCCTGGTGGTCAGGCTGTGCCAGGGTCAGGATTAGGTTTAGTCCAGTCTCATTCCTGCATCCATCACCACAAAATGGGTGCATGAAATACCCACTCATTGTTCAGTATACTGATTTAGCGTGACTGATACAAACAGATTAGAAATATAATAACATTAATTTCAGCGGGAATGAGGAGCTCTTGGCATGCTCTACTGCTAGACCTTCAGCACAACTACTGTAGGTCTTGTGAGCAGAGTGGCATAAAGAATGAATACCAGCAGAAAAGCTGGATCATATAAGCAATTGTAATCAAATCTCCCAAAATACAAATTTCCAAAGAAAATACACTGACGGTCCTGCCATAGGCAGGAATGTAGAATTGAAGTAATAGAATTTCATTCAGTTCACATAGACAAAAAAAATTTCTTTTCCAAGACAAAGATTAACACAGTCTACTCTTTTCTCTGCTGCTTAATGTAAGCATTGTCTTTGGCCTCCTCTCCCTTTTCTCATAAGGTTTTATTTGCTCTTTATCACTCACGTCCTTTTCAAGTGTCCTCTTCTCACAAAAAGCAGAATATTTTCCCTAATGCTCAAGCTCCCAGCCCTGGATTTCCTCCTGCAGCTCCAGCTGTTTCCCTCTCCTCCTTGTTTAGGATAGCCGTTAACTTTGGCTGTCAGTCTCGCCGCCATGTTCAAAGCCCGAACCTATAGTATTTTGTCAAATATTTTAATTTTGACAAAGCCATATGTTCTCATGGCACACAATTTGAAAATCTTTCCTCAGTGATTCTACATGTAAGCCGTGGTTATGGAGCACAGAATTTGATATGAACAAAATTCAACTGTATTAACAGATTTGTGGAATATATATGGCCAAAGGGGCCATAGGATAATTTAGTCTGAACTCAGATAGTCACAGGCTCTACAGATTTTCCAAGAAGCCTGACTAAAGTCTATGTTTTAGAAAGCTGTGTAGTCTTATCCGGGCAATTCCAGATGATACTCATACTGCCACATCTGGTAAGCACTTTCAGCGATGAAATATCCCCTCGCTGCCAGAAAATAGCATCTTAGTTCAAAATTGCATCCCACTAAATTCAGCTTTCAGAAATCAGATCTTATTATGTTTTTGTGTGCAAGACTGAACATCCCCCTTACTATCAAGTATCTTTCCTATGACTAAGAACCCGTACAACGTGATAAATCACCTCTTCATCTTTCTCTGCAGATGATTTGAGCACCACAAGCTTAATTTTTGTGAGGCTTTCTAGATAATACTAGTTTCTCTCTTTTGAGGAATATCTGAATCATCCTGAAATGTGAAGAGTGGAACAAGGCATAATAGCCTAGCAAGAGTCTTACCAACACTATGTACAGAGGTAAGCCCCCTACTTTACCTCAGCTTTATTTTCTCTTAGGACTATTCTTCCTATTATCCCTTCAGCTCCTGCCATGGCCAGCTGTGGAAGGAGAGGGGGGGCAGGAGGCACTGAAGAGATGAGGAGGGCTTGCTGCATGGATCTCCTGTGTGGTTAAAAATACCAGTTACATACGCCACCAGAATAACATAAGTACCTGGAGGGTCCTCTTGGTCCCATTGCATGTCCACCTGTGATTCCCTTCTCAGCAGCACTATGGAAACTTCTTAATTTCCTCTTTAAAATCGCATATCTTGTAGGTAAAAACTGGTGTCCCCAGCAGGAGGAGGGAGAGCAGAAGCATCTCTGGGGCTTTGCTGCAGAAGGGACCTGCCTGCTCTGTCTAATGTTTATGTTATGGCAGCTCTGTTAAGACTTTCCCAAATCAAACTTCCCCACCAGTGGCTGACAAAGACCTGCTTTTTCACCCGGCTGTTTGGAAGAGCTGCTTTGTCTGATCAGATCTGCTATCCCTGAAACCTGACTGATTCATGCTGATAAGAATCGAGCCTCTGGCTGACAACATATTTTATCTCCTACTTCTTCCTGGAGTCCAAAATTAAGTGTGCCATTATTTTGCAGGGGATTGACGTGAGGCCTATAGTTCATTGCAGGGTCTCATTTCTCATTTTCAAGGACAGGAATTATATTCTCAGTTACATTCTTGTGTACATAAATGATGCAGCATAATAAAGCTTACTAGTGTAGTGGGAATGACTGTAGGGTAGAGCTGCTTTTTTTAGCTCCTTTTGCTTTTTAAACATGGGAAAGGATACCTTATTTTCAGCACAATTTAAAATTATCAGGTAAATAATCTGGGGTCTCAGCATAAGTGCACCCATCTTGTTTCATAAAATATATTCCCCCTGTCAAAATGTCCAGTTAAAGTCTATGTAGTATCAAGATTATAACATATGTGGCTGGACATACAGCTCTGTTTCTTCAGAAGGTTTCCCCAGATAAAGGTGATGACAAGTTATGAACTACATTTTTATTAAATCATA